TGATTTCCAGTTTTCCCAGCACCATTTGTTGAGAAGATGCTATCTTTTCTCCAGTGTACATTTATGGCAACTTTGTCTAGGATAACTGTATTTATGTGGATATGTCTCTGTGTTTTCTATTCTGTTCCTCTGGGCTTCATGTCAGTTTTGGTGCCAATACCATACTGTTTTTGTTACTATAGCTCTGTAGTATAATTTAAGTTCTGGTATTGTAATGCTTCCCACATCACTTTTCACTCTAGGATTGCTTTAGCTATTCTAGGTCTCTTATTTTTCCAAATGAATTTCATGTTGGCTTTTTCTATTTCTGTGAAGAATTTCTTTGGGATCTTAATAGGAATTGCATTAAATCTGTATAGCACTTTTGGTAGTATGGCCATTTTGATAATATTGATTCTGCCTATCCAGGAACATGGGAGATCTTTTCATATTCTAATGTCTTCTTTAATTTCTTTCTTTAACATTCTGTAGTTTCCATTATAGATGTCTTTTATCTCTTTTGTTAGGTTGATGCCCAAATATTTTTTGAGGCTACTATAAAAGGAATAGTTTTCCTGATTTTGCTTTCTGGTAATATATCCTTGGTGTATAGAAATGCAACTGATTTATTGGTATTTATTTTAAGCCCTGATACTTTGCTGAATTCGTTTATGAGTTCTAGGAACTTTCTAGTAGTTTTTTGGATCTTCTAAATATAGAATCATGTCATTGGCAAATAAAGACAGTTTGAGCTATTCTTTTCCTATTTGTATACCTTTAAATTCTTTCATTTGTCTGATTACTCTGGCTAGGGTTTTGAGGACTATGTTGAATAGAAGTGGTGAAAGAGGGCATCCCTGTCTTGTTTCAGTTTTTAGAGGTAATGCTTTGAGGTTTTCCTTCATTTAGAATGAGGTTGGCCTTGGGTTTAGCAGCTTTTACAGTGTTGAGGTATGTTCCTGGTTTTTCTACTGTTTTGAACATGAATGGATGCTGAATTTTGTCAAATGCTTTTTCTGCATCTATTGAGATGTGATTCTTGTCTTATTGATGTGGTCAATTGCATTTATTGATTTCCTTTTTGAACCAACCTTGCATCCCAGGGATGAACCCCACTTGATCATGGTGCACTATCTTTTTAACATGTTTTTGTATGTGAGTCAGCAATTTATTTTATGTTTGTTGGCCTTGGATATTTATATGTTGTCTATGGACATTTAAATCTACCTTATGAGGTATAACTGAAATACAACAAAAAGAACCTAATCTATGTGTTTAGTCAAATAATTTTGGACAACATATATATCCATGTAACAACCACTCAATATATAAGATATTTTCATAACCCAAAAAATTCCTAACATAATGAATAATTCCCACCCTTGATCTTGGAAAATTACTGCCTGCTTTCTCTCACTACGCTTATTTTGTCTATTTTCAAATTTTATAAAAAATGTTATTCAGCTTATATACTTTTGAGTCATTTTCCTTTCACTGAGCATAAAGTTTTGAGATTTACTAATGTTGAAATTAATTCATATGTATATCAGTAGTTAATTCCTTTTTATTGCTGAGTGGTATTCAATCATACACCACAATTTGTTTACTCACTTACCAATTGAGGGAAATTGGGATTGTTTCCAATTTAGAACTGAAATAAATAAAGCTTCTATGAGTATCCATACATAAGTCTTTTGTAGATACATAGTTTCATTTCACTTTGGTAAATATCTAAGAGTGGATTTTCTACATCATGCAATACATGTGATTTTAATTTTGTAAAAATCTTCCAAAGGGTTTTCCAAAATGGTATTGCCATTTTATATGTTCAACAGCAATAAATGAGAATTCTAAGTGCTCATCAACACTTCATATTGTGAACATTTTTAATTTAGCCATTCTTTTGTATATATAATAGTATGATACATTATTTATTTATAATTCCATGATTATTAATGATTTTTATACTATTTTCATATTCTTACTGAACACTCATATATCTTCTTAGTTGACTATACATTGCTTATTTAGCTATTATATTTTCTCATTATTGCATCTGGATATAAGTCTTTTGTTAAATATATAACAAAAATATTTTCATCCAATAATTGGCATGCTTTTCAATTTCTTAGTAGTACATTTCAAGGAATAGAATTCTACATTTTTATAAAGTCCAATTTATACTTTGGTCAGTGGCATTTTGTGCTAAAATTCTTTGCCTAGCCCAGAGTTATTAATATAGTTTTCTTCTATGTATTCTAGAACTGTATTAGGTTTGCTTTAATGTTTCATTCAATGATCCATTTTAAATTAATTTTGTTTTAACATTGGATTATGGAACATTTCCAACTATGAAAACAAGAGTAAAATAAATTCACATAATACCCCACCATCCCACGATTTCAACAATTGCCAGCATTCTGTCGATCTTATCTAATTTATTCCTCACTAATTCTCTATTCTCAATGATGGTGATTAAAGGGTTTTTTTAGATGAAATTCATGTACATCAAAACTTACAATTCTTAGCTGCACAGTCCTGAAAAATAGATATATCTCTAACATTTCTACCACTCCAGAAACTTTCTTCTTTTCCATCCCAATAATTTTCACCTTCAAGACAATACAAGACAGATTGTTTCACTGAAAGTAGTTTTTCCTCTTTTATAATTTCATTAAATGAATCATATGGTCTTCATTCTGGCTTCTTTTTTGTCACAAAGAAAATGCTCTCATATGCCGTTACAGGGACCCAACCTCAGGGGCTGAACCTGGATTTTCCATCCCTCCCTTATTCCAACCAAAGGGCAAAGCTTATACCTATAGCCCCCACCACCACCACCATCACCAAGTCAGATGTACAGCTGAAACCTCCCCCTATTACTTATGACCTTGATAGTTGGCCAGGAATTCTCTGCTGAATTGGTAGTGCAACAGAGATTCTCAACACCTTATACAATTCTTCCCGTAGATTTTTAAGTAAGATAGCTCCAAGTGTGAATCCTTCATTGAGTAGATTTCTTAATTGGGGGATGGCTTGGTTTACCCAAAAGACAGATTACATATGTTTAGGACACCAAAATAGCAGGCAATTTTGAACAGCATCTCTAAAATTTTATAATTAAAACAAATTCTAAAGAGAAGCTACTTTAATTTCAACATATAAGTTTTGTGCTATATGGGAAATTTAAAGTATTCTGAATTGTATATGGGTGGCCTGTAAAGGTCTCAATCAGGCCCTGCTGTAGGCAAGTCATTTATCTTCTCTGAGACCACTTTTCTCCTCACCTCCAGGATACTGCCTGCATCACGATCTATGTGAAGTTCCTGACAATGTCTGCATTCCGTCATCATCACTTCCTTTTCCTTCTTTCTTAACTTCCCTTTCCATATAATCATAAACAAGGAAATAAACCCAGCAAATCCACAATCTCTATCAAAGAGAATGGGGACCATGTGAGAATTGGGGTTCCTCCCCTGGCTTTGCTGCTAGCTTATGACACTTCTCTGGGATGGTTCTTCAATCTCCCCATGGCTGCTATTGCAACCACAAGATGGATATAAGCGCTACTTCCCCTTCCAACCCTTCCAGGAAGATGTCAATGGACAGTCAGAGGCTCTCTTTCAAGACTTACATCACTTCTGTTTCAGAAAAACTTCTACAGATATTAGTTGTCCTAAGTGCACACTTTCTGATGCCCAAAGGAAAGGGAAGCAGAGACCGATCAGAAGCCTGAGTCAGAATATTTGGATGACCTGGGGCAAAAAGCAGTGCTACCCCAATCAAACTCTTTACTATGTGGTCCACCATGTTCCAACCCAGAAAATGGGCATGGGAGGAGGATAGTTGAAAAAAAAATCAGAAGGACAGATAAGCAGATAAAGGAGTTGCCTCCAAGGACTCCTAGATGGTTATTCTTAGGTTCTTCCTGCTCCTCTGATCAAGCTCAGGGCTGCCTCAAAATCTATCCCAGCATCTGTTTCCACACATCTGTGCGAAGGAGTCTGCTTGTGAAATCAACCCCTTGACCACTGTAATCAGAATTAGCCTAGAATAAAAACAGGAAATCTCTCTAGCTTTGCACATTACAGCAAATATAAATTACCTCACTAAGCAAAGGGAAAGGGCAACTGGCACTAATATGCAATATTTTCTAAAATTAATATTTGTTTTTACTGGGTAAAACCATCATAGGAAAGATAATTGGATCAAGCAACCCAGACTTTGTCTAAGTGTCTGTTTTCAGTTTGAAATTTTAATTGATTGCTGAGATTTTTTTTTTTTTTGTAGCAGGGACTGAACCCAAGTGCACTTAACCACTGAGTCACATCCCAGCCCTTTTATTTTTTATTTTGAGAAAGAGTCTTGCTGAGTTTCTTAAAGACTTGCTAAATTAGTAAGGCTGGCTTTGAACTCATTATCCTCCTCAGCATGCAAATTGCTGGGATCCTATGGATATGCCACCCAGCCCAGGTGCAACCTCAATCTTAATGCCAACCACATAACACAATTTTAATACATTCCATTCATTGTTTGGCCAAGAAAAACAAAATTTTTCATCTTTTGCCCTCAAAAATATATAACATTAAAAAATTACTTATTGAGAAGTTATATTGTGAATAGAATCAGACTGTAATATATTATACTTTTAAAGGGAAACCTGCATGGGCAGGAACAAAGCAAGGAGTTGTTCTAGTTGTGAGACCAGGTAATTTTGTGTCCATGAGTAATAATGTATTTCTGAGTCTCTAATATCTGTTAAGCAAGGAGACTATAATAAATTATTTATAAGGCTCATTCAAGATTAAGTTACATATGATGGCAGAAATTTACATAAAGAAATCTTGGAATAGTTGAAATGGAGCAAGCATAAGACAGACTAGATCTGCACTAAGCACTCACTCAAAGATTTAAAATTCTGTTTCAGTAAAAGAGAGGGGGGAAACACTAAAATTTAAATCCCTCATTAAAAACATGATTAACATAGCATTGTATCTTCTTGTTTAAATACTGTTCGTTTCTTAAGAAAATATTTTTTTGTCCCAGGTTTTCCTCAGGGCAATTTTGACATCCTTATTTCTCAAGCTATAGATTAATGGGTTTAACATGGGCACCACAATAGTGTAAAACAGAGAGGACACTTTCCCTTGATCAAGGGGCAAAATGGAAGGTGGTTTGAGATACATAAAAGCCCCAGAACCAAAGAAAAGACAAACCACAATCATGTGGGAGCTGCAGGTGCTGAAGGCTTTGGATCTGCCATCTGTGGAACTAATGTGAAGGATGCTAGAGAGGATGAGGGCATAAGAAATGAAGATGGTGACAATGGGCATTCCAATGTCAATGGCCACAACAATAAAGACCACCAACTCATTCACATAGGTGCTATTGCAAGAGAGCTCAAGGAGTGGAAGAATGTCACACATGAAATGATTGACAAGGTTGTCAGCACAGAAGGTCAAACTCATTATGCTTCCTGTATGGGCCATGGCCCCAGCAAATCCCATCCCATAGACACCCAACAAGAGAAGAAAACACACCTGTGGAGACATGGTAACCATGTACACCAGGGGGTTACGCCATAGCTGACAGAATAAAGGACTCCGAGACAACGAAGAAGCAGAAGAAAAAGAGCTGAGTCATGCACCCAGAGTGCAAGATGATGTTTTTCTTTGAGATAAAACTCATCAGCATTTTGGGGGTAATGGTGGTGGAGTAACAGAAATCTATTAAGGAGAGATTGAAGAGGAAGAAGTACATGGGGGTATGCAGGTGTGAGTTCAGCCCAATCAGCATTATCAAGCCCAAGTTTCCCATCACAGTGACCATGTAGAAACCTAGAAACAGAAAGAAGAGGGGGATCCGGAGGCCTGGCTGGTCAGTTAAGCCTGCGAGGATGAACTCTGTCACAGAGGAGTTCTTGGTTGCCATTCGTCTCTTAGGAAAGAGGCCTATGGGGAAAATAGCAAAGTACCACTGATAGAGAAAGAAATATCACCACAAGCCTCCCAGATCTACCCCTATTCTTGGAAAATAACACAAGGAGAGATTCAAACAGTGATGGGAAGGTTTTAACCATTCACTGAGGGCAGTAATGAACCAGCAAGTGAGTTAACCTCTAGAGCAGCATGCAAGGCTACACTCTGCCTAGAGATTGAGAGCTGATGCTGCTGAAGAGAGGGGCACCAAAAGCCAGCAGGATGTTTTTTAAATCTTGAAGTCAGCCCCTTTCCTATGCTCTTCCTTCTCCCATCTCTGCTTCAGTTGCTGTCACCTGGGCCTGTTACCTGGAGCAAGTCCTGACAGGCAGAAGCCACTCTAACTGTGGATCAGCACTGTAAAATTAAGAGGTGAAGTTGTGTTGGTTTTGTTGTAATTTTTTTCCTTATTCAGCATTTTTATTTACTTTTAAATTAATTTTAATGTTTTAAATTATGCAGCCAGAACTTGGGTTTTTCCAAGAACTGTTAGCTCATGTGGCTACAGATTTGCTAATAATTTTTTAAAGTGAATATTTATTTAGGGGTTATAGTGAAGGGCTTTGCTCTAAGAGCTATGTGACAATATCATTAGCCTCATTTTACAAATAAGACAACTAAGTTTAAATAATTAGCCCAAAGTCAAAAAAAAAAAAAACCTACTGACCTCGGTCAGGAGGACTTCAACAGTCCCCTACCCCCACCCAGTGTGACTCTCACAGTTTATCCTTGTAGCTACCATGTTATGTGGCTAACCACAGTCAAGACAGGCTCTCCCCTTTCTCTAGTTAAATCCATAAAGCTATACTCTACTAACTCTTGCCTAAATTGTCCTGAGGAAGATAAAGACTTGGTGAATAAAAGATGACACCTTCTGCCCCCAATCCTGTGGTGTCATCACTGGGATCTGGGCGTCCTCCACCAGGCATGCCTCCTCCTGGCTTCTTCCCACCTCCGTGCCACCTCCTGGAGCCCTCCCACCAGGGGACACCTCCGGCCATGCCCCCACCACCTATGCCACCTGGGACTGGAGGACATGGCCTTCCATCAGCAGGAACCCCAGGGGCTGGACCTCCTGGTCATGGACATTCTCATCCTCACCCGTTCCCACCAGGTGGGATGCCCCATCCAGGAATGTCTCAGATGCAGCTGGCCCACCATGGCCCTCATAGCTTAGGACACACAAATGCTGGACCTCCAGGCTCTGGGGAACAACCCCTACCCCGACCACCACCTGGAATGCCTCGTCCTGGACCTCCTCCAATGGGCATACACCCCCCAGGACCTCCGTTTGGCTCTCAGATGGGTCACCCAGGTCCTATGCCTCCACATGGTATGTGTGGGCCTCCTCCACTGATGCCACCTCATGGATACACTGATCCTCCATTGTTCACCAACGGGGGCCCCTACCCCTACCCAGACCCACACCCTGACCTCCAGTTCCCCTCGTGGCCCACTTTGGGGCCCTCTCCCTCAGTAAATTCTCATTCTTCTTCCTCCTGTTCTATCCTTCCAATATCTTTTCAATTCCTTGGACCAATCAGAGTTGCTAAAGCTCCTTGGGGCTTGGGCACTAATCCCTCTCAGTCCACTGCCAATGTAATTTTTTTAAAGGAGGTTTTTCTTTTCTTTTTTTTTTCTTTTTTACATTGGTCCTAAGTGTTTTGCAGATGTCCAGAGTGGGGAGCAGCATGGGGGGGACGGGGGGTGGTGCGGGGGTGGGGGGGGGGGACTTTGATCCTAGTTTGAAAAAAAAAAAGAGAGATGACAGCTTGGAGCTCAGAGCTCTCTCCTTCAGCCCAGTCAAAGGATCAGAACCTCTAATTTATCTCATAACCCTCTCTACATTGAAGAATGCAACTTACAATTGTTAATTTATCCAAAGTCCCCTCCAGCTTCCAGAGAGGAGATAGTATCTGTTCCTGACCTGTGGATGACAGGACAATAAAGAGTTTGATTCTGGATTGCAGATCTCAGCAGGCTTATTATTAAAATAGAGACTCCCTCAAGACTATTTCCTCAGAGATTACCCTCCCTAAAGAAGAAGAAATGTCTGCTTATCCCTTGGAATTAGTTGATTTGGCTTTTAGAGAAAATTCTTTCTTTCAACACTTTGTGCAGTAAATTAAAAGAAAATTATTATGGAAAAAAATTATTATCATTACCATTTTGAATACCCAATGGTGTACCTAACACAATGCCCTTATACTGACTCCTGGCTGCCAAGATCCAAAGTTCTGTACAAATATGTCCTATTTATTTCTTAAATAATGATATACATTTTAGAGGTAAGTTGCTCACACAGACAATATGTTTCAGAGCCCACAGTTATGCCTAGCTCTGACTCCAAGCCCCTGACCTGAACCCCTAGACTCAAGTACCTATATACATATAGATGATAATGATATAGATAGATTAAAATGATCCTTAACCCCTATCTAACACCATATACTATTAATGCATGATGAATCATAGAATTAAATGTAAAAGCTAAGCCTATAGAGCATTTAGGAGAAAACAGGAAAGAAGGAAGAATTTTTTACACATAAGATACAGTAACCATAAAAGGAATATGTTATAGTTCAATGGAAAATACTTTTTAAAAATCAACTTCTTTGTTTTGGATGGGGAGTTAAGGACATGTTGGTCAAAGGGTACAAAATTAAAGTTATATAGGAGGAATAATTTCAAAAGATCCATGTTCACTATGATGACCATTGATTATATTCTTGAAAAATAAAGTTGGATGTTAAATTTTCTTACCACATGATTACTATGAATTTATGTATATATCAATTAGCTAGGGTTAGCCATTTTACATATATTTCAAAACATTATGTTGTACACAATAGATACAATTTTATCTGTCAATTTAAATAAATAAATTTGAAATTTTCAAAAAAAGAAAAATATATAATAAATTCATTTTGATAAAAGTTTAAAACTTGTGCTCTTCTAAATAAACCATTAAAAAGTATCAAGGTAGACTAAGACAGGGAACATTCAAAACCATGTATCTTTAGTCTTTGATAAATACATATTTTTTTCTTTTGACAAATATGTGTCTGTCAGAAGACTCATTTTCAATATATGAAGAACTCCTACATATAAATTATTAAAAGACTAAAATATTTTAATGGGATAAAATTTAAACATATGTTTCAGAAGATATACAAATGGTAAATAAGCATGTGAAAATTTGCTCAAAGAATGATTTATTAAAGCAATGCAAATTAAAACCACAGTGAGCTATTACTATATAATCACAGTAACTAAAACTAAAAAAAAGACAATACAAAATATTGTCAAAAGGTAAGTCAAATAAATCCCTTACTATTGCTAGTAGAAATGTAAAATTTTGAAATTTGCAGTATCTAGTAAAACAAACACATGCCTAACCTGTGACCCAGCAATTTCATCCCTAAGCATACACTCCCTAAAAATTAATGCATATGTCCACTCACATGAAATCCCACACTCAAATAGTCACAGCAACTTTACTCATAATAATTAAAACCTGAAAATTGCCTAAATAAGCATTAACAAAAGAACATATTAATAAGCCATGGAATCTTCAGAGATTAGAATACAACTCAGCAATAAAGAGAACAGACTACTGATACATACAACAACATGTATGACTCTTGAAAAGGAAGAAGGAATTAGTCTGAAGCAGGAAACAACATCATGAGTTAGAAAAGGAAAGACCTTTCTGAGCTTTTTACAATCACAAGTCACACAGTGAAGATCACTGACTGAACACATTTCTGAATTTAAACACCCAGCATCAACTACTCTTAATGCCCTTAATTTTCAAATCAGCTCTCAGGAAGGATCTGGGAAGCTCCTCTCTACAGGGACAAATTGAGCTGATGTGTAACCACCTATACTTTAAATCCTTTCACAGGACCATTTGTAATGCTTTTATCCAAAGGGAAAAGATATTTCTATTTGAAGAAACTCAAGTCTCAATGGGCTATGTTTTTGATCAGGGTTTCTCTTAATCAAACCATGAAATCAAAATATAAGACTAAAAACTCGGCTTCTTGACAAGTCCAACTACAATTATAGCATAAATCACTGTATGACTATGTGTATGCACACATCAATCAATATCTGTTTGCCTGTCCACATTGGTGAAAACATTTTCTTTTTTGTGTGTGAGACATTTTCAGCCAATGCTCATCAATAATGGTGTATTATCTGTTAATATACACATAATTTTGCTGTTTACTACAAAAACTATAACTATCTTATTGCCTGGCCTTAATCCCATTACAAGTAAATTACAAATGGAGAAAAACAGTTAGCACTCATAAGTTCTCTAAGGGACTCAAAGGCAGAGAATACCTCAGGGGTTCATAAAAAGTTTCCTTTTCTCAAAAGAACCTTAAAATTTTCTTGTATAGATGATGCAACACCAGGAAAAGTTTCTCTGAGTTTATGTCATGTCAGAGACTACTGCCATGAAACTTCATTTCAAATATATTCCAACCACGGCTACTGCAAAGTCAGATTCACTTGTGACTAGTTCCAGTACAAACAAGAAACAATATAGAAAAATGTTCTTTACCATGTTCATTTCGATAAATTTGCCTTTTCCAAAAGCTGAATGTCTGCTTAATGAATGGCTTCTTTGCTTTAGTTCTAGCACATATCTAATATACAACAATATATAAATATATCATTACATATAATATAAATATATGATACTAATACTTAAACGAATATTCAATGTCTTCACATATGTCTCAGAGTTTCAATAGACCATCAAATAGTACAAGTATGACCCTAAATGAGTTGTTCATCACTACACACCAAAGAAACAGAAAAACATGCATCAATTCCAATGATCGCAGAGCCTGGTTAGAGAGAAAAGATGCTAGCTCACAAGTCTTCATTTGAAATGGCCTTCACTGATAAGAAAGAAATTAAAATTAATATTTTAAAATGTAGTCAGATGGA